CCCGGGACTCCAGGATCATGACCTGAGCTGAAGGCAGTTGCTTAACCAACTGAGCCACCCAGGCACCCTTAGTTTAAAGATTATTTTGATTTAGGGGCACCTGGCTGGTTCAGTTGGTAGAGCATGCGACTGTTGATCTTGGGGTTGTGCATTCGAGCCCTACACTGGGTTTAAAGATGACTTAAAATATTTAAAAAAAAATTTGGATCGGGGACGCCTGGGTGGCTCAGTCAGTTAAACGTCTGCCTTCAGCTCAGGTCGTGATCCCAGGGTCCTGGGATCGAGTCCGGCATCGGGCTCCCTGCTCAGTCAGGAGTCTTCTTCTCCCTCTCCCTCTGCCTGCCCCTCCCCCTGCTTGTGCTCGCTCTCTCTCTAATAAATAAAATCTTCAAAAAATATTCTGATTTATTGAATGAATAATTTGGGGGGCTCTGTGTAATAGAACTTGTGCTTCTAGCTCACCAGGTGAATAGCCAGGACAGGTGTCTGCCATTGTCATCTGTGTGAGTATGCACGGGGATAGGTGGGACACCGACGTGTTTGCGGAGAGCGTTCGGGGGCGCTGACCCGCTGCACGATCCCCTGGCATCCGCCTCTCTCCGGGAGCAAGTTCTGACCCTGCCAGCTTGAGGTGCGATCTGGTGGCAGGACCCGGCAGAGCTTACCTTTAGGTTTTAGTCGCTAGGACCGTGTCAGCCGGATGTACTTCCAGTGGATGCGCAGTGCGTGGACAGAACAAAGAAATAGCCGGGTTGTTTACACATTGGTGTGATGTTCACAGTGGTGGCCGACGCCGGTCAAGTTGGGACCTTGGTGGCATAAAAAGGGTCAAGCCCTCGGATGAGGGATGTTCTGTTCAAGAGCTTCGTGGCAGACAGGAAAAAAAAAAATAATGGCTTCACCATCCCCTTGAGTATGTTTTCAGTCTGTGTTCATAGGTCGTCAGTCTTGTGATCCTCAGATTGAAGTGATTACAGGTTGCTGGGAAGCAGCTTCCTTCGGCATTTTTCACAAATAGCACGAAGGCATGGAGCAGCAGAAAAGTTCAGTCTTTTCCCAGTGGCAATAAATTTCCAAAAGCGGGGCGCCTGGGTGGCTCAGTTGGTTGAGTGACTGCCTTCAGCTCAGGTCATGATCCTGGAGTCCCGGGATCGAGTCCCGCATCGGGCTCCCTGCTCGGCGGGGAGTCTGCTCCTCCCTCTGACCCTCCCCCCTCTCATGTGCTCTTTCTCTCTCATTCTCGCTCTCTCAAATAAATAAATAAATCTTTAAAAAAAAAAAAATTTCCAAAAGCATTGTTTACTGAATAGCTCCAGCGAATAACACAGGACTTGAGCTGTTCATGGGAAATCTCCCGCCCACCGACTCGATGAAGTGTCATGGAGTTTTCAAGGTCATAGGAAAGGGAGACCCAGACCTCCTCCATGAGCCTGAGCTGCTCTCTGCATCGGGAAGGATATTGCTCAGTGAGAATTCCCTCACCGGAGAGCAGGCTGTCTGTCAGTCACAGCCGAGGATTTATGGGTGTGTAGCCCACGTTCCCGTTCACCGTCCACCGGACCTGTGTTCCTGGACGGTCAGTCTTTGCCGTGCAGTCCTTTGCAAGCTGATACGCGTCTCTGCATTTTCCAGGATTGTTGGTGCATCTAAAACCTCGTCACTGTGCTTGGACTCCCAGGACCTTGGCTGCTACCCACAGTGTCTAGCCTGCTCAATGAAAAACGGCTCTGTAGAGAGATGATAGAAACAAGCATTCTATAAATACGCACAGTGTTAGGATGAACGCAGGAACGGCCTTCTCCCCTTCCACGGAGGGTCTGCGTACATTGCAGGACAGGAATCCCACTCTACGGCTTGGCTTGAACTCCCCTACTGGCCTGACGGCTCTCAATTACCATGGTCATGAACGGTGTTTATGTCAGGCTCCCTCGTCTGCTTGGTGGGTGGACTTGGTCATCTGTTTGTTCGTTCTGGGCTCATATTTCAAAATGCCTCCAACTTGGGATCCTGCCAGGGAGGTCAATGGCGGGCTCTTTCTTCTTCATCTTCTGTTTATTTATTATTTTTTCGGAAGCTCTTGGGCACACGACGCCTCTTCGTTCTCAGCACATTCTCTCAGACACATCCCGTATCACCAGCTCTGATCACATACATGGTCAGAAGGTTGAATTTTTAAGCCACCCGATCTGTTTTCCTTAAATCTAGAAATAAGCAGGAGAGCAGAGGAGGGTGACATTGTAACCATAGGTCATGTAACTGTTTGGGAACAGTGTCACTGCATGTTGATTTGGGGGAATCTAAGCCGGTTTTTAGAGCCGTAGTCTGCTTCTTGAGAAGCAGCTGCCTTGTGTCCAGGTGTGAGTAAACCTTCCCCAGGATGACTCGGAAGGGGGCCGCACTGGCTGGCCTCCTGTAGGGCAGAGGTCCATGCCCTATCACGGCTTAGCGTCACTTCTCCCAGGGTCTTGGAAGGCATCTGCACTTAGAAGCACCCAGAGCGATGCGTTGTGTGCAGACCATCAGCTCGGATGGCAGCCCCAGTGGGTCCATCTGAACGTGAACGCATCTTCTTTCCTTTCTGAAAATTAATGGGGACAAGTCATGGTTGACTAGATGTCTAGGGTTTGGATTCTCATGCAAATTCTACTTTATGTGGAGATGTGGCATAGACTACATGCAAGCTTTTTGCTTGTTTACTGGTTGGGTTTTGGCGGGGTATTTTTTGTGTATTTGTTTATTTTTGGTCTTTTCTAGTTAGTTGTGAAACAATAAGAGTGCTGCTTCCTCGTATATTCTTGTAAAAAGGGAAAGCGACAGAATCCAACACAAGCCCTACAACTCTAAAGCGCCATACAGATGATTCACAGTAACTGGCTCAATTTGATCTTGAGCCAGCAGGGACCTGGCTCATTCAAAGTTGATGTTTTAGGCTTATGTTCTGTTTCAAAAGGCAAGGGGAACATCAGTGCAAGGAACAGCCTTCCATGTAAAGTGTGATAAGCAGCAGGTCTGAGCACTGACCCCGTAAGGCGCTGAGTGGGCTGGACGCACCCAAGCTCTATGCACACGAATGCGTTAAAAATGCATTTAGCAAAGCATGCATTCATTTATCAGAGCTCAGCTTGTTAGCGTTCTGATACCCAGTTCTAACTTTGAAATGTTTTCGTTATCATGAGGACTTAAGGAGTCCAAATAAATATGTAAAAGTGTCATTGATTTCATGAAACAGATTATTCCTTGAGAGCTCTTGCTGGCTGGCAAAGATGATGAACGGAGGGGATAGTCCCTTCGAAATGATCAGAGATTTCTGACTTAAGAGCTTATATCTTATGTATTTGTGTGTGTATATATTTATACACAGCTATACTAACAATATATGTTATTTGCATGTGTGTATACACATATATAAGCCTATAGTAATTCTATGTATAGATATATGTGTGTACAATCTATGTATACACACACGTATGATAATAACATATATAGGTGTGCATGTCTGTGTTTCTGTGTACGTACGTATCTATATTAATAGCATATAGAGGTGTATGTGCATGTATATGCCCATATACACTCAGCCCTATACTAATATGTAGAGGTGCACAGTGTATCTTTGTGTGTATATGGGTATACATATGAATATAGGTACGTAGAAGTATGTGTTATATATGTGCGCGTATATGTCATGCATGTATTTTGTATGTGCATGCATGTACATGCATTACTATGTGTAATGCTACCTACTCTAGAGCACCTTTTGCTCCAACCACAGTGCATTGATGCATCCCTGCAGTGCCTGGGAGTCCTGGGTGGACCTGAGGAAGCTGGGAGAGCTGATGCAGGGTTTCATCGACTAACAGAGTTGACTGAGCTTACGCTCCTTGGCAGTCACCGTGCTGGTCCCTGCCGCCCCGAGATGTCTGTGACATGCCCCAGCTCATGGTCTAGTGGGACAAGGAAAGCACGTAAGGGATTCGTGGGTAGTGCACCTGATGCTCTAGGAGAAATGGCATTGGGCCACCCATCTGTTCCGTTATTCACTCCATTTGTGCCCCAGCAGCCTTCAAAAGGGCACTTAGGCAATGGTCCTGTTTAGACGGAAAGGCATTTCTGACGCTCTCCTGGACTAGTGTGAAATTTGAACCGGTTACATAAAACCAAAGTGCATCAACTAAGTGCATTTCTCAGAGATTGGCACAATGCAAAGAGGAGGGGATATAAGTTGTTGACCCCTCTCAGCAGACCTGGGCGAAAACACCCACACCTTCCCACACTCACCAGGCTCATGACTGTTGTCACAAGGCCCACCCGTTGACAATGACTTACAGCTCTCCCCCAGCTGTGTATTCTCACCCATTACAGCACAGGATGTTTTGATACGCTCTGACTTAAGAAATGCTTTTGCAATAACCTGAGACTCTTTATAGATCGGGGCTAGTTCAAAGAATGTTCCATGCAACTTCCAAAACGTCAGTGTTGACAGTTGAACATTTATTCTAGGAGACTTGCTTGGTCGTAGAAGGTGGACAATATGGCGGAACAGTTGAGTTGGCATTAGATGGGTAGATAGGTGTTGCCGTAAGAAGTCAAGAAATGGGTGTTTATTAGGCAATAGCTTATCTGTGTGTGTGTACATATTCCAAAGAGAATACGCGTTTGAAGGCCCATGAGTTCCTACTAATCACCGAATAGAGAAGGAAGAATAGAATTCGAGGGCAAAGCAGGCCATTCCCACGACATTCCTTCCAGAGTTGTGTCCTCGGGGAATGTGTCGAGAAAATAGCGCTTCAGTCTGCTGACCTGGACAAGGTGACCATGAGTCTTCTCTTCATAGGTACGCCGTGGACACTTCCATTTCTCCAAATAAAAGTGATGTCTCCATATTAGACATCACCTGGTGGTGCTTTCTGACTTTTCAGATGGCATCACGTCATACTAGTTTGATGGTGGTGGGGTCGGAGGTGCACATGCTCATATTGCTCTGAAATTCTCTCCTCTGGCAGGAACGCTGAGACGCCGTTCCTGCTGGTCCTGTCATACCTCCACGTGCACACGGCCCTCTTCGCTTCCAAGGACTTCTCCGGCAAAAGCAAACATGGTGCTTACGGTGACGCTGTCGAGGAAATGGACTGGGGCGTTGGTATGTGTGTCTTTCTCTTCTGTGTGTGCTCACGGTGGGCCCGAGTCTTCTTCCTTCTCCCCCACGTCCTGTGAAGGTCCACCTCTGGGCCCCGTGCCTTTATAGACAGCAGATGGGTTTCTGTGTTTTTCTTTTCTTTTTTTTTTTTTTTTAAGATTTTATTTATTTGCGAGAGAGAGAATGAGAGACAGAGAACATGAGAGGGAGGAGGCTCAGAGGGAGAAGCAGACTCCCCGCCGAGCAGGGAGCCTGATGCGGGACTCAATCTTGGGACTCCAGGATCATGACCTGAGTCGAAGGCAGTTGCTTAACCAACTGAGCCACCCAGGTGCCCTTCTGTGTTTTTCAAAAAGGTAATAAAACACTAAGTCAGAAAGATAAATGGAACATAAACAGCATCTTCAGCTCCTAGTGCATGGTTGAGGTAGCAGTGTCTTCCGCAGCGTTGTTAGATAAGTGTCAGGTTTGGGGTTCCAGAAGACCACGGGCCTGCACAGCCGTGGCACGCTGCTGTGGGGTCTCCTGGTGATGCCGTTCTGTTTGGCGTCGGAACCCACTGTTTGCATCTTCTAGGGCCAGCGTTCTGTGGCCGCCTCTGCCAGGACGCCAAGATTGTCTCATTCTTTGTGTCCTGTCTCCTCCTTCCTAAGCAGATTGCTCTCTTCCTGAAAAACATGCCATTGTTTTTCCAGAGGTGCTTGGAAGACTTCTTATTTAAAAAAAAAAAATGTGTCCTCTCCATCTCCATGAGATCATCAGGACCCTGCTGTCTTTGCTTTTCTCTGGCAGAGCTGAGCGATGTCGGGTCTGTTCTGTAGTGTGCAGGGGAAGCGAGGCAGGGGAACACCCACGGGGCTCTGAACTCGTCACTCAGCGCCTGTCTTTGCCGGTGACATGCTCTCTTGTGTGGACATTGCGCAATCCCTGGGGACAAAAGGGCACACCGTTGTCCAAATGTCGCCAGTCCATAGGTTGCTTAGGATTTTCAGGTGTTTCTTTTCTTTTCCTCTTTTTTTTTTTCCTTCTCTCATTCTTCCTCCTTTTCTTCGTGTACCAAATTAATAGTTTTTAACTTTCATCTAGATGTGGTTTTTTTGTTTGTTTGTTTGTTTTAAAGATTTATTTATTTATTTGAGAGAGAGAGAATGAGAGACAGCATGAGAGAGAGGAGGGTCAGAGGGAGAAGCAGATTCCCTGCCAAGCAGGGAGCCTGATGCGGGACTCGATCCAGGGACTCCAGGATCATGACCTGAGCCGAAGGCAGTCGCTTAACCAACTGAGCCACCCAGGCGCCCCTCATCTAGATGTTTTGGAAATAACCTGATCATTGCCAAGGAGCATTCTTTTTTTTTGGTTGGTTGGTTTGTTTTAAGCTGCAAATTGAATGTGATGCTCTTAGCCTACTCTGGTGATGACAAGAACAAGTTTTGGTTTGTTTCGTTTTGCTGAATCTTGGAAGCAGCACCGTCCTAAGAAACAAGAGGACAGGACCCTTATGCCAGCTTCTAGCTCTCCATCTACAGAGTCTGTGAATTGGAGAGATGTCTTAAGTTTCTAGGCTTCAGGTCTGTCATCTTTACATGAAGAATTCAGATGAGGCAAGTCCTCGGTTTTTCTTCTCCGAGGGTCTGTGATTCTGTAGAAGAACAGAAAGGGAGTCCCTGTGACGCAACATTCCCCTTCACGAGGTTTACAGAACAGATGCATGTACTAGGGCTCTCCCATACACCAGGATGAGCCTGCCTCTTTTCGTTCTTGCTTCTTTAAATGTTGCATGTGAATCCCTGTATGTTTTCCACATCTTCGCGGTGTGAGTCAGTAGAATATTTCATCTCCTTGATGAGTGTTATATTTTAAGTAACAGGTTTCTTAAAGACGCCTCCAAGACGTCTGTGGGCTAGCACGTGAGCTCATGCTGGTCTCATCAAGCGGACTGATTAATTTTTATTTCATTATCATGCCACACATGCGTGCCCTGACTCATTAGCAAGTCTGACTTTCAGTGTTTTCCTACTCTGGGTCCCCTCTAGAACAAAACAGAGAGTGTTTTTCAGTCTTTGAGATCTGCGTTAGAACCTGATGTCCCATTTGTAGATGATTCTGTGCTTTTCTTTTTGCCAAAAAATGAAATCCTCCCCCTAAGCCATGACGTTAATTTCTTGGGATATTTCTGCTGTTTTACCCATCCAGTACATCTGAGCGTTTCGAAGAACATCCCTTCTTTCCAAGAAAAGCCTTTCCTTATGAGGCTGAGGGGACTGCAGTGTTCTCAATAATTACATAATAAAATAAAATGCGGATATTTGCTTAAAAATGATGCATCTTGCAGGAAAGGCCCCTGAGAGAGGAGCGGAGAGCTGCAGAGGGCACATCTCAGCCATGCGGAGCATTTTCTTTCAAAATTGTTGGATGCGGCCTAATTACATGGAGCCTAACTTTCTCCACGGCAGGGTTCTCTGAACCTAGAAAGGCATAGTCACAACAGAAGCACCTTTACTACTTAATTGTGCTCCAGGGCCATTCCCATGCCACGTCCTTGTGTTTATTGCCTTATTCCTAGCTGTGTGATGGCGCTGTCTTGCCTGGTTATAGTCACTGATGGAAGTGAGCAGGTAGCTTTGGAGTGAGGACCACAGAAGGGGTCCTGCCGAGACACCACGTGGGTGGCTCACACCCTGGATCTAGAATCCCTCTAAGTAACCCGCGGGGTGGTTAGCCTTCTTTCATAATCTCAGTGACTGCGGGCTCAGGGAGTGCCCCACACCAAGCCCTGGAGCCTGCACGCATTCCCTCCTTTGTGCCGTGGGCCATCGTTCCAGCAGGTGGTATGCTCCTTGTCTCCATTCTGCAGGTAAGGCAGGTGAGGGTTGCTGAAGGCTGATGCACCTGCCGGCCTCAGGTGTAGTACTTACAGAATTAATGCAAGGGATGAGCAGGAACCCGAATGCAGGTGTTCCCATAGAGTGTGAAGGCTGCTGCACCTGGTTCCACCACTCTCCCTGGAACGAGAAAGGCCTCCTCATGAGCGCTGGATGGTCAACAATCAATCAGAGGGATAGCACTCATTCCTGCATTACTCACGTTTGTTGAATACTGTGTGCCTAATTTTCTTTTTTTTTTTTGGAGGGGGAGTGTAATCATGACGAGTCCCTTGATGTAAGGGAAGGTAGGAGCCACGGAGGGATCAAAGATTCTTCCAGGAGATCTTAAAATAACACAGCGCGGAAAGTGATGAATGAGTGTCCCAGCGAAGATGCAGATAAGCCGCTTGAGAGTTTGGAGAGGAGATGGATGGGCATACAGGGCCAGTGGACACAGCCCACCATGTCATTTCAGCAGGATAGCCCCGCCGTCGAATCCTGGGGGCAGTAGGGGCACCGTCGCAAAGTGCGATTTTCAATCCCAAGTAATTCTGAAGCCGTAGAGATTTGGAGAGGAACAAACGGGCAAAATCACAGTGTGTTCAAATGTGCACCGAGTATCTTGGGGGCATGCCATCCTAGCTGTTTATCTTCTCCCGGAAATGGAGTGATATTTGCTTGAGATCTGTGAATGGGAACGGGGCAGAGGGAGCAGGTGGAGGGATGGAGGTGGTTGCTGTCACTGGTTTCTTCTCTGTGGCTTGTACCGATCTAGACGACACCTCCAGAAGCATGGAGGGCTGTAGGCAGAGGGATAAGTTACTGGACTCTGTCTGAGCTCTGTTCTGCTTGGAGGGAGACCAGGAGTCGGGTGTTGGCTCAGATTCAGGTGGAACTTGCATGCACTCAGCATTTACTTAGAGCCCCATGCTATTAATAGAGCCATGGGAAGGCATCATAAATCAGCACTTGTTCAGGATTCAAGTACCAAATTCTGTATCCTACAAAGAGAGATGCAACTCGAGAACAATGAGTGAATGCTGATGTAAATCTCTAGCTTCAGATCAAACCTTCCAATTAAAAAAAAAAAAAAAGTTCCTGCCACTTCCAAGCGTTGGGATCCAGTGGCTGACGTGGGATTTTTTTCTTTCAAACAAAAACCGTAAGCTTTTCTTCTTTAGTGGAAGAAGCACCAACCTTGCTGGTGGCATGGAGAAGTCTTCAGGAGTGAGTTTTCAGTTGCTCAGTATCTGTGATAGCTCAGTATGCTCAGTACCTGCTAGTGCTTGTGCTAGATACCTCAGTTTCTCCCTGCCTTTCCCTCTGTGGGGCTGGACAGTACCACCTTCTCTGGGTGCAGGGATGGAAGGTCTCATTTAGCAGATCAGGACAGTGGCAAGAACCTCAGGTAACCCAAGCAAATGAGGAGACTTGGATGTTGGTCAAAGCCCCTCAGACCCATGGCATAATTCTAACCAGGGTTTGGCTTTTGGGGCATGAGTCTAATGGACTATCCATTTAAACATGGACTCTTTCTAGGACCATTGTGAGACCCTGAAATGTAGTGTGCAGTGGATAACCCCTCACTTAGTAGGTCCCATTTGCCTGGGCCAAAGTGCTCTGGTTGGGTTCATGCAGAAGACATTTGCTTCTAGAATGCTGCAGACCAGGAGCACGGCAGGGGCTCAATAAATCATATTTAAGGGAGAAATCCGGGGAGTCAGGTGCCTGATACTTGCAAGGCCCTGTCCGAGGTGCTGAGATTGCTTGGGAAATGTGGCTTTCTTTTACCTGTGTGGATAATAATGGTCCACCTGTGGGAGTGGATAAGATTGCTTTGAAAGGATATTGAAAGCAGTTGAGTAACTCGTGACTCAAGGTTTACTTGCATTGAAATTCAAGGTGAAAGTTTAGAAATAAACTTCCATGTTTCTACTTCTCATCAGCTAGCATTACAGGGTCTAAGAAAGCAATGGCAATATTCTCTTTGTGATTCTTTTGTTCTCTAAGGAATGTAATCTGGGCCATAATGCTGTGTATTTCCTTTGGGATTCAATACATCAGTTTTCTATCTTGAATTTTTAAACACTCCTATTCTTGATAAATGTGGCCTCCCTCTAAAGCGTGAAAATAATGTGTTCGCTTCTGATGCATACCGAAAATGGAAGGCCAGGTAGAACATTCAAAGGAAGGGCAAAATAGAAACAATCCCCAAAAGAGAAACAAAGGAACCCGTGAGACCAAGAAGAGTAGGAGAAATGGGGTATCAGAATTCAGGGGTAAAGAACACTTTAAAAGACAATCAACTCCAACTAGGAAGAGGTGAAAAGACACAAGTGCATTTAGCTACTATAAACTTTATGGTTGTAGGAGGTTGCTGAATGAGCGATATTTGAGGAGCTCAGGGTCAGTGGGGTTGGATATTCCTTCAAGAAGCATGGAGGGATGTGGGCAGAGGGATAAGTTACTGGATTCTGTCTGAGCTCTGTTCTGCTTGGAGGGAGACCAGGAGTCGGGTGTTGGCTCAAGATGTGGAACTGGATAATTTTCAGTCCAATGTTGAGGCAGGAGATGGATCATTGAATTGACTGATAACTGAAATGTTGCCAGAGAGTATCACAAAAGACAATTCAGCTTTGGAGTTTGGGGCATTAGGGAATGACCCAAGTGTCAGGCCACGGCAGGGGAATGAGAAGAATGGGGGGGGCGGGCGCTGGTGGCTTGGGAGGTGATGGGTTGCACGTCCAAACATGATGTAGGGAAGGTATTGGAAGACTGGGAAGATGTGAAAGTGTTTACGTGACAGAGGTAGAACCATTACAGGTATGCACCGGTGTGTGGTGTGCTTTTAGGGGTTTGGATAAAGGACAAGAAGTCAAGCGTCTTGTGTCAAGCACATCAAGGGACTGGAGAGCCAGGGCATCCAGCTGGCTCCTTCCTTGTGAGTGCGCTCACGTGAAAGACACCAAGCTCAGCTCCCCTATGACTGGAATAGCTGATTAGCTTCACTCATTTTCAGAGTGGAGGTTTATGTCTGGGCAAGACACTGGATGAATAATAGTATACTTTATAGGGAGCAATGTAGAGCCATTATGGACCACACATTCGTTAACTGAGCTTCCAGTTTTATCAGACAGTCAGTGGAGACTTGAAAATTATTTCAATGGTTGGTCACCAGCCAAAGTTCCAGGTTTTTAGTAGGTTTCAGGGAGTAAGGGAGGTGGTCTATGCACACTAAAGCATGCTGGCTTCCAGCTCTGTACAGCAAAGCCCCATCTGTCAGCTCCATGGCATGAAGGCAGTATTAAGAGTGAAATGCTCATAACACATGACTCATTGTCACCTTGTAGCTGTGGGGCACATCACAGTGAATTATGCTCAGGACAGTCCCTACTCTTAGGCAGTGTGAAGCAGAACATGGAAGCATTTTGTCATAAAACTCTTAAGCTTCTCATGTAGAACAAGCACAACCTCCAGTCTTCTGCAGCCAAGGTTGGATGCATTGTGAATTCTTAAACGTGTTTTTAATTTGCATTGTGTTTAAAAGTGTGCTCTGTAGAGTTTAAACAAAAATAAAGAAATGAAGCTAGGACTCACTGGCTCCAGAACAGATAGAATGATGGAAAAGAATAGGAAGCCCAGAAAGAGAATATCATGTAAATGTAAAGGTGGCCTTTCAAGGCAGACAGCTAAGAATAGATGATAATGTTAATTGCAATAGGATGATTAAACTTTGGGAGACATAATTACCTTGCCAGTGCCTGGCACTGTGGTAAGTGCTTTGCATGCACTTAAAAGAGACAGTGATGGTGGTTCTGATGATGATGATGGTGATGGAGGTGGTGATGATTTTGAAGAGGAGGATGATGGTGATGATAATGATGGTGGTGATGGGGACGATGATGGTGATGATGGTGATGGAGATGATGGTGATAATCGTGATGATGGTGGTGATGATGATGGTGATGGAGATGATGGTGATAATCGTGATGATGGTGGTGATGATGATGGTGATGGAGGTGGTGATGATTTTGAAGAGGAGGATGATGGTGATGATAATGGTGGTGATGGGGACGATGATGGTGATGATGGTGATGGAGATGATGGTGATAATCGTGATGATGGTGGTGATGATGGAGATGATGGTGATAATCGTGATGATGGTGGTGATGATGATGGAGATGATGGTGATAATCGTGATGATGGTGATGATGATGGTGATGGAGATGATGATGATGATGATGGTGATGGTGCTGAAGGTGATTCGTGAAGAAGATGATGGTGATGGTGATGATGGTTGTGGTGAAGAAAACGATGACAAATGAAGAATGATAAAGAAGATGGCGATAATGAAAATAACAAAGATGAGGAGAAGAGGAAAGAAGTGATGATGGTCCAGACAAGGAAGGCAGTTTTCTCAGGGAGCTGTAGTTTAGGGACCTAGAGTAACTTACCCACGTTCGCGGAGGTGGCATATGAACACCTAGAAGGTTAATCTTGTTTTGTGCTGTACTGCTGTGTCCCATTCATCTAACTGAATTCCCCATGCAGATTGAATTTGGAAAACCGACCCACGAATGAATGCAGGGACATTATTATGATTGGGCTTTACTTATCCGGGATATCCTTGAGCAAGCTCTTTCTAAGCTTAAAAGCAAAGAGATAAATAGTAAAGGACAATATTTATAGGCTTATATAAAATTTAAAATTTCCTGACATCAAAAAAGATAACTCAAAGTACTGGTAACAAACCGGTTTAAAAGCACGTGCTGTATCTACCTAAAATAAAGAGAAAATCCCTGAGGTATAGGAAGGAACTTATACAAAGAAATTGACTAGAAGATAATTACTGGAAAAGGGACCTAGTTGTGCCAAAGTAGTGTGTCCGATCACTACACACTTGGTAGCATTGAGCATTATGATTTCTGAAATAATAATGATGATGATGATGATGATGATCACCCCCCGAAAATATCTTTACTAATATGATGAATGACACAATAAACCTGTTAAAATTCCATGTGCCACATTATATTGATTCCTAAAAATGTCCTAAAGCAGACATTTCTCTTGGCTTTCTTTTTTTAATTAAACAAACAAAAAAAAGTCTGTTGTCATTCATGCAGCAGAGTCAGCATATTTTCTTAAGCCCCTCGTCCCAGGATGAGCCGATGAAGAGCTAAGGCTGCCTGGTCTTCTCCCAGTTGCCGCTGCTGACCATAGCAGTCAGTTTACTTACAAAGTATTGTTTAACGACTCAGCCAGCACTCGCCATTTCTGAATCCCAAGGCATCTATGACACAATTATTAAAACTCAACTCAAGCAACAAATTGGATTTTATTTTCACACTGGTGCTTCTCTTCATTGAAAATTCCCTTTTGGAATTTTCAGAAGACTTTAAGTTGCTTGGGAGCATGCACATGTGTGTGTGTGTGTGTGTGTGTGTGCGCGCACATGGGGTCCTTTGACATCAGGTGTCTCCTCAAGTGCATCCTAAATAGCATACTTTTTTGGCAGAGTTTGTAAAATCTGCTTAATTCAATAACTTCAGTGTTACGCTAATTCCCCAAAGTGGAAATTGATGTTTCTTTTCTTTTTTTTATTTTTTTTTAAAGGTTTTATTTATTTATTTGACAGAGAGAGAGAGAGAGCGAGAGCAGGAACACAAGCAGGGGGAGTGGGAGAGGGAGAAGCAGGCTCCCCGCGGAGCAGGGAGCCCGATGTGGGACTCGATCCCAGGACCCTGGGATCATGACCTGAGCTGAAGGCAGACACTTAATGACTGAGCCACCCAGGCGCCCAATGTTTAAAAAAAAAAAAAAAAAAGACAACAAAACAAGGAACTCTACTAGTTTATCCCAGACTGTCAAATCTTGGGTATATGCTTGGAGTGACACCTCAGCTCTGAATCAGAAAAAATACGACATCCGGTCTTGTCACCATAAGCCCTTCTTACCAAGATAATCATGACATAGAGCTTGCTGACAGACAGTATCTTCCCAGGGACTTTTGATGGGGACTGCTATTACAACACCCCTGCCTAATGGGCAGATTTTTTATTCCAGCATATCTAGCCAGGAGAGAAATGAAATAGTCCTTATAGACCGCTGTTTACCTGAAAGCAGGATACCTAATGAGGTTGTGGAAACTTGAGGAAGACATCTAGGAAATGAGGAAAACCAATAAATTGTAAAGGGATGTCTAATACGGACCCACCCAGGTATAATTTTCTCTCCACAGTTGTCAAACTGATTTAATCAAGAGACACTATAAAAAATCGCATGCTTGGGCGCCTGGGTGGCTCAGTTGGTTAAGCGACTGCCTTCGGCTCAGGTCATGATCCTGGAGTCCCGGGATCGAGTTCCGCATCGGGCTTCCTGCTCGGCAGGGATTCTTCTTCATCCTCTGACCCTATCCCCTCTCAGGTGTTCTCTCTCCTCTCTCAAATAAATAAATAAAATCTTTTAAAAAAAAATCGCATGCTTGATTTGCAAAAGTTTGCACTAAGCTTTGGGACATGTGCAAAAGAATTCAGGAAATGTTCAGTGCAGCCATGTCAGAGCACTTAATGTATACTTTCAAAATACGGGGCTTCCTCAACATTGTATATGTGGTGTTGTTCCTAGAATATAATTTTATTTAGGTTCATACACCTCCCAGCCTTGAAGAAAAAGTAAATGAATTTATGATAAATGAAAATAAAATCAGCTGTGCCAAGATTTTCCATTATTGTCACTTTCTGAGATGTATGTTTGAGGACTCCCTTGTGAGTAATGGTTTACAGGACACGGATGACCCTCTACAGTGGGGCACCCATTGATTATCTGTGCGAATGCTCATTTTCTCATAATTTCAACAACTCTAGATATTATGATTCTGAAAAGATGTTTACTTTTACATTTCTCAGGTGAAAAATGCTATTTCACCATTTCAGTTTTCCTTCCTGTTACACCTGCCATTGAAACTATACATTCTCATCCACGGTTATGTTTTTTCTCCTAAGAATTCCGTTCTTGTATCTCTTGAATGCTTTTCTATTGGATTGTCCATCTTTTTTTCCTTAATGATTTGTATGGGCTCTTTACATATTAAGGACATTAGTAGTTTATTTGTTGTATGTTACAAATATTTTCCTGCTTTTTTGTCTTTTCATTTTATTTGTAGACCCTTTTGTGGTGAATTTCTGTGGTCAGAGTTAAGAGCCTCTCCTTTGTGACTTCGGGGATTGATGATGGATTTTAAAAAGGCTTTTTCTACCTACGAAATTACGTACCTTTTCTCTTGTGTTTCCTCCAGATATGTGTATGGTCTCATGCTTTACTGTTAGGTACGTAAAGTATGGAAAGGAACATGTGTGTGACCATTTGCCTATGCCTACTGGGCTCAGGTGCTCAGCGCTCTTGGCTAGCGTGGTTGTTAAGGAAGATGGGGTGTGGTGTCCCAGGGCTGTACTTTGCCTCTGGGCAGCAGGCATCAGGTCAGGCTCTTTCTGCAAGGCCTTTGCAGAGTTCACACTAAAGAGAACCCTGTGGCTGCTTTCAGCCAGGTAGGTGTAGTCCAGTGGTCACCTCCCAGGGTGACCAGCACGAGACGATGCATCAGGGAAGGTCTGCTCTGTGAGTGGGCAGCGCTGACAGGTTCATCCCTGCGTCGTCACCAGTAGATTTGGTGCTAAAGTACATTAGGGCATGCAGGACTGTCTATTGCACCCCTCCTCCGCTACCTGTTCCTCTCAGGTGTTTTTGCTCCTCCTGGCCAGGGACATAAACCCTTGAGATCACATAGGGGAGAGGCTGTCCCCAAATGTCCCCAGCAGGACATTCCTGCTCTGCTCCCCACCATCTTCCTGGGCACCAAGGAGGGAGCAGGTGGCTGATGCCATGGGGCATCCTGACCTCACTGGTGATCCCACCTGCTTCCCAAAGCTCCAGGTGTACTCCTGGAACCCTGCTCTGCTTCCCCTTGATGGTCTCCACTTGTATTTCTTCCAGATTAGTTGTTTCACTTTTAAAGAGAGTTAGGGGGGCGCCTGGGTGGCTCAGTTGGTTAAGCGACTTCCTTCAGCTCAGGTCATGATCCTGGAGTCCCTGGATCGAGTCCCGCATCGGGCTCCCTGCTCGGCGAGGAGCCTGCTTCTCCCTCTAACCCTCCCTGCTCTCATGTACTCTCTCTCTCTCTCTCTTTCTCGCTCTCTCAAATAAATAAATAAATCTTTAAAAAAAAAAAAAAGAGAGAGTTAAGGATAGGAAGGGGGCAGAAACTAGCATATATTCACCTTGTTTCCAGGATATTCAACAACCTGTGTTAAAGCTACATTGATTTTTGCATTTAGAACAGGAAAAGAACAATTAGGGATCATTAGAAGACATTTCTAGCATGTTACTGAACATATGATTTAATAAAAAGCAAGCAATTCATGAGCTCGGTCCTTTCTTCCACCTAATAAGACTGTTCTCAAAAGGCCGTTAGGGATGTCAACTGTTCTTGGCTGTGTTAAAGTGGAGGCTTAGGGTCATGTGTTTGCATCTCCTGTCTCTTCCGGTTTCCTCTGTCATTTCCGGATGTCCCGTTGCCACAGCGTTACCACCTGCCCCCTGCCGTAATGATACTGAATGCTACTAATAATAAGCATCCCCATCTTTACTCGGGGCCACCTTCTCTCTCCGGGCATTATGCATCCATCCTAGTCCTCATCCAGTCCCCTGAGGACAGGCCCTCACTAGTCCGCTTTGCAGATATGGAAACCTAGGCATATGGAAGGGAAGTGGCTTGCCCCAGCAAGCTCTCACAGCTTGCAAGGGGCAGGGGCGGAATTCAGACCCAAGACCATGCCTCTGTGCCCCAAATGGTATTAAGCGGGACGGATGGCCTCATGACATGTGACTTGTGCATGGTGGTGGCAGCAGGAGTGCTGGGAAAGGGCAGAGACTTTGGGGCCATTTGCTTGAGGTCCTGCTGCAGCCCCAGGACCCCCTGGCGGGCAAGCCAGGGCACATTACCATTCTCACTGGGCCTCTCTTTGCTCATCTGTGAAATGGGATTATACCCCTGCCTGTGTTGCTGGGATGTCTTGAGGCATGCCCGGGATGTATGAAGACCTCGACAGTGTGCTGTTATTATTATGATGGCCGCACACACACCTTCCACTCACTTCCTCCTGTCATTCTGCACCGACTTCCTAATGCTTGTTTGGTGGAGGCAGGAAGCACACGGCCATAGATGTCCCAGGGCACAGTTTCATGGACCAGGCTCTTGGGACCTTTGGTTTGCTGCCTGCCCGTGAGAAAACAGAATGAATCGCCATCTTTCCATAGTCTCTGTCCTTGGAGATGATTGGAGCATGACTGTGTGCCTACAGTCTGTAAGAGTTGCATCTCCAAGGAGCCCTGTGGAACGGAAATTCAGGTTTGCTCAGAGTCTGCTGGTTGCTCACCGTCCGTGTTCTGAGCTGACTGCTGGGCTCAGGCACCGGAGCCGCATTTCTCAACATGGTGGCCGGAGCTCTGGGCTGGAGACGGTGATGGCTCAGGGCTCTTCTGTTTCCTTAGGGACTCAAGCGTTTGGGAAGGACAGTTTCTTTATGGCAGGACTCTGTACGTCATTTTATTTGCTCCCGAGCAGTAGGAAAAAAGTGAAGGCAGATTATAAAGTAGCGTATTTGCATAAACGACTCCTTCTCGATCCAAAACAGATCTCGTCCACTGGGTACCGCAGACACCATCGATGCAGGGAGTTAAAATGGGGACAGATGTCTGTCATTTTTGGAGTTAAGTGGGTGTTCGCTGTATTGCACACTCGATGTCGTTCATTTAACGTCTCCAACTGTAGGCGCACCCATGGGCCTCTGATGTTTATCAGTTCCTGAAACTGTAGAACAAATCCTCAGTGACATTCACCTGCAAAATCTCCTTTGAGCCAGTGGGGGCAAAATGTAACTTCTGCGTAT